GTAGAGCCATGCTGCAGCTATATTAGTAGTATAGTTGTAGCACGAATGGGTCGGCCGACGAAGGACCACGCTCTCACAGAATACCAGCGTAAAATAGCAGCTTAACATTGCTGTGTTTCGTATGGTGAGTGTAGAGAATCGGAGACCCTTTTTACTGGAAAAGAGGCATTCCATCTCAGTCCTCACGGGTGACAACGCATCAGCATTTTGATTCGCAAACGATGTATGTAGATGTCTATGGGTCACAGCAACCACTTACCATCAGGTGGACTGTTTGTCACCCTATACTATAAAAAAAAAATTGCATGCATCTAATTACAGTCTGTGAGGCATTCCATCTTGGTCCTCAAAGGTGACAACACACAGAAAATTCTTCTTTGTTTATTTATATATATATTTATTGTAATTAAGTTGGCTGCCGATGTCCATGGTTTACAGTAGTCAATTACCATCAGGTGGACTGTAAGTCCTTTTGTCACTTGAGATGGGCAGCAGCGGTTGCCAACCGGCCTGCATAGCGTGGCAACTATGGCAAACATCCCCCTATAAAGCAATCTATAGGGGAGGCTGGGGAAACCTTTGCATAGCAGTGGACTTTCACGGGTTGTAATGGTAATGGATCATTTATACGAAAATACATTGTAAATATATTGAAAACTAGCTGATACCCGAGACTTCGTCCGCGTTGCTTGATATATTAAAAAAAATTTCGTATGTGCGATGGATTGGATTGGCCGTGTGAAATACCCCGTATAAAAATTGTTGTTAATTACCTTTAACAACTTTTACTTGAACTTGAATATATGGCAATAATATTAGATAAGGGCCAAGTGTCTAAGAAATAAAACGGAGAAAACCTAATTGAAATCTATTCTGTAGCTTTTTCGTGATGCGCGCACAACTGCAAACCTCTATCATTTTATGTACATATATAGAAGAATAGCCCCCCCCCCCCCACCCCCCTTGGCTTATATGGAGTATTTCCTTTCCTCCCTTGTCCTGCTTTTAAGTTCTCTCCGTCGCCTCTTACGTAGCGGATATTCTTTCATCGCCACTAAACATTTGAAAAAATAATCAAATGACTACTTTTACTCAACATCCGCATTAACTTGTACGTAGGTACATTTTACATCTGAGAGAGTGTACCTAGATTTGTTATAGAATAAAGGTGACAAACGAGCACACAATCCACTTGATGGTACATGGACCTAGTGGCCCATAGATATATCTACATTTATCCTCTATTAAGAATCAAAATGCAGATGCGCTGTTACCCCTGAGGACTAATATGGAATGCCTCGTTTCCATTGAAAAGGGTCTCCGGGTCTCTACATCCACTATGTGAAACACCTGCGTAAAATAGCAGCTTAATGCAGTTGTATTTTGTGAGAGCGTGGTCGTTCCCCGGTCGGGCCGACCCATTTGTGCTACACCCATATTATATATAGCTGCAGCATGGCTCTACTACGTAAACCTGTTTTGTTTGTATTTGTACTACAACTTAAAAATTTTAAAAACCCCCGAAACAAAAAAAAAACTAATGATCTTCAAACGGCTGAACAGATTTTCTTGAAACCTACATAACTATAGCTAAGAACACTCTCGATTAAGACACCTTTCAAACGACAAAACTTAATCAAAATCGATCTATCCGTTCAGGAGCTATGATGCCACATACAGACACATAGACCCTCAGATACACACTACAAACATATAACACCCCTCCGTTTTCGTCAGTGGTTAAAAACAGTTTTAAATAATTAAAAATACCTACACAAATGCAAATTTTTATACAGTCTACGTGCTCTCAGTCAGCAATATGTAGCGCAGCACCCTAAAATTTGAATACAGTCGTGATCAAACCAAAATCTCGTTCCATCCATCTCAAACTTCAAAGAAATTGCCTCTTGTTCAGCCTCAATGCGGTAGGATAAGACTCATAGCGGCTACTGTATCAACTCTGAGAGTCATCGTATGATTCAAATATATGCCTAATTGTGTTGACCATATTTACCATCATGTCGTCACGATTGTTCACACATTGTTATATTTTACTATTACAGGGGCATGATCCAGAACTTAAGGTCGTAATAGTACGCTTTCTTAAAAAATTATCATTATTTCCATTTAAGTGTGTTTTAGCAACAATCTGTTAAAATAAATCCAACAAAATGGCCCTTTTCATCTCTTTCGAGTAGTACGACCAGTGGTCCATATTATGTATATAGTAAATTAAAAAAAAAAACAAACAGAAAAAAAATACACGTGACTACTATACAATACATTAATTGTGTTTTAAATGACAGCGACGGAACCAAAATACAATGCATTAAAAAAGTTATGGATAGTTAAAAACAAATAACATAAAGAAAAGGATACAAATAAAAATGAAAAGTAAAAGTTTGTGCGTAGTGTGTGCGTCTGAGTGTGCGTGTGCGTGAGCGCGGGCGCGTACGCATGCGCGCGCATTTGTGTGTGTGTGTTTAAATATAAATGTGATTAATCAGTTTTCTGGTGATTCAATAAGTGTGATTTGTATTTAATTTTAAAGAGTTTTACTGTTTTCAGATTGCGTATAGGTGGTAAGTTATTCCAGCAGTTCGTAGCGGTGTACTTGAAGCATGCTCGAAAAGCTGCAATGCGATATGTGGGTTATGTTAGGCTATAGTAAGAGGCTCTAATGTTGTGTGTAGTATTAATGTTTTTGGCCCATTGAAATTTATCGTATAAATAAATTGGAGACTTATGTATGACAATACCAAATAGTAGTGACGCAAAGTGAAGTTGCCTACGATATTCCAATTTTAAAATATCGTTTGTATAGGGTGTGACATGTGTGCGTGGCGGTACGTCATAACAGTATCTAACACAGGCATTCTGGACGCGCTGTATGAGATTCTGTGAGCGTACCAAAAGTCTAGAGCCTAATACAGATTCTGCATAGTTTAATTTTGATAAAATTATGTTTCGCAGAGTTTAGTACAGAGATCAGATCCTATATAATCTCTTATTCTATACATGACTTTGAGCCTGAAGAAGCAGTTTCCTACTACGCTTAAAACATGATTTTCAAATCTTAAGCTCTGATCCATTAGCACACCTAGATTACACCCCTCTGATACTTTTTCAATTCATTCTCCGTTTATAATTAACGGGGTACGTACCTGTAAGTACCTTAGGATAATTATCAACTATTTTGTTTTCTGTGGGTTTGAATATAATGGTGTTATTACATTACCAATTATAAATGCCCTGTAAGTCTTTATTTAGCTTACCTATGGCTGCTTTTGTTTCTGATGACTTGAAAGAAATGTATAATTGCAAGTCATCTCCATCATATGATGTTTACAATTTTAATTATGCTTTACCATATCCGTAATATATAAAATAAAAAGCAATGGCCCTATTAGAGACTCCTGAGCAATTCCTCTTCGTATTAATTTGCTTGTTGAAACCTGCTTTGCACTGTTGTGATCCTGTTCTAAAACCACACACTGGGTCCAGCTTCGGAAATAACTACTAAACCATTTTACTGCATCATAATCAACACATAATATACCCCTTTTACCTCAGTATCATGTACAAAAAATTTTGTACTAAATCTGGGCAATGTTATCACATTGGTAAAGCTTAGTTCTAGAAACCATTTGTTAAAAAAGTTCACACTCAAAATCGATCCATTAATCCTTTACATAAACTCCTCTACATGTAACATAAATAAATTAAATTCTGTGGTTCCCGTTAAGTGCGTTATTAGAGTCAGTATTCAAACATATAGAAACAACTTTACTTCAGAAAAAAAATAATGGTTCAAGCCCCAATTGAAAGAATGTTTAAGTTATTTATCTATACAACGTTGACAAACGACCACACACCTGCAACCACCTTCGAACAGAAAGTGGCCTCTGTTCTGTTATCTGTGTGTTTGGATGCAGGTGTGTGATAATGGTCACAGCCTGTACTTTTCATCAGGCTCTCTTACCGTTCAATGAGGAGGATCACAATAGTAATGATAGCTGCTTGGCCAGAGATATAGGTGCACGCACTAACCAGGAGCCACTCTAGACTCCTTAGCAGAAAATGGGCTAACCTATGTGAATTATTCTAGTGATTTAGGATAAAAATATAAAGATCAGTATTCAGGACTATATTCAATTCATAAAGAAATAAAACAATTTTACATACAAACCAATAATGTTATATTTAAAACACATGATTTATACGAGAATATACGTACTGGAGCAGAGCGACGGATTGTTTCATAACCTATATATTTCTGACAATATAATATAATACGGCCTGTGCCTAGCAGTGGGCACAGGCCGTATTATTATAAATAAGATGAATCTTTACTTTACCACCAAAATCGAGTCAGTGATATATTGGCACATTCTAAAGTAAGAATGAATATAAATAGGCATTTCATACGAACATACTCTCAATCTCGGACCACATAACATCGGTTGGATTTTCAATGAAGCCTTCAGAATAAAAAGTAATTAAGAGCTAAGCAGCATAATATAAATTAAAATGACACATACATTATTTAAACATCCCTAATTCATATTTATTATAAAATGCATTGTATAAAAATCAATAGCCCGTTTGTTTTAAAATGAGATTTTATGTAAACAACTACTACCCGCACCACTGAAATGTGAATTTGACAATCTATAACAATGGATATTTTTAAATAGAAATACTAGTAATCAGATGTAGAGTCAGAATTACAGACAGAATTAGAAAACTTGAATTATGAGAGTATATACTGGTGTATTAATATATATATATATATATATATATATATATATATATATATATATATATATATATATATATATATATATATATATATTCACATTACAACATTCACATAAAATCTCATGCTAAAGTCTACAGGGTATAATACTCATTTCTTTGTACTAGAAAAGGCTTCTACATCTAAATACTATGCTAACCTTAGTTTAAAGGGTCTACATTCTAAATTGTTAAAAGGGGAATTAAAAATTACTTCCTAACTGTGGAACGGCCTTCGTCAAGAACTTGCTCAAGTTTGTAAATTCCTGGTCAATAGCTGTACTAAACCATAAACTGTTGTCTGCATCAACATTCTCTATCCCTTCCAACTGGACATATGTATACGGTGCGAACGCTAAATGGTTCCGTATACTCAATTTGGAGTCGACATCGGGTATTATATCACTAAGTTTCGCAACGACCTGTGGATGCAACCTATTGAAAATAAATCCCTTCTTCCTACCACTTAGGAAGTCTTCGTTATATGAACATGATATCATGTCTGAAGTGAAGGCTTTTAGTGCTTGAAATTGTTCAATATCCAGGCTGCTTGTCTGGCGATTGTTCTTCGCTTTCATTGATGAGAAGATTTTCCTGTACCTGTAAAGCAATTTATAAGATTTTATCAATTATTCTTATCGTTTACAAAGTAAATGTCACTAATTATATATCATTTACGAGAAACCACCACCACATGTAATCTTGCGGGTGTCATTAGAGGCAACAGAGTAACTGAAACAGGAGATGGGCAGCAAAATCTTGCTATTACTAAAAAACTTCAGTTGCCAACTCATCTGTCAAGTGTGGAAACTTTGGCAAAAACAAGGGATAATTCTATTAGGTTAGGTTCAGCAGTAGGTTTTAGAGGAAGTAAAAGTCGTAACAAGGTTTCCGTAGGGGAACCTGCGGAAGGATTATTAACGTATATATGATGTATTATAATGATACATTATATGTATATCATTCAAATAACAATTAAAAAATTGTTCCGATTGGTGGACACTACGCGCTTGTTGCTCCTATCGGAACAATACAACAATATGTCACACGTTCGAAACGCCCTATCGTTCATATATAACACGATACGATGCGTAAGTGTGACGCGCGAGGTTTAGACAGTTTGTGTGCGTATGGTGGTCTCTTTGAGGAATGAGCGCGAACCGAGACACATACACGGCTGTAATGAATGAATTACTAAATCTACCATCCGTAGGGGTAAATATTTTGTTCTGGTTTACTCTACCACACTTACGACAGCCGTGGATCGAGATAATTTTTAAAAACTTGTCTTTGTGTTGGTGGTATAATTATTCTTTGGAAGTTGCGTCAGAACCAACGGATTTAAGGCTTAGACTCTCCAGACCTATGTTTGGGTTGCAGTATTTGAGAGGAGAAAAAATTTGAAAAAGTGAGTATATTCGAAAACCGATAAGAATTTCTCGCTAATATAGTGAAATATTTTAAAATTTAAAGATATAATACTGTTTATTTTTAAATAAATACCGTAATAAAACAATTACGGTGTCATATCGGGCTTGCTCTAGAACACCATTTAATTTAAATTCTCTACTCATACAAGGCTATCTCCATACCTGCAAGAAGAAAGAGGGCGAAGGCTTATCATCATGCGTGGCCTTTAAAATTAAGTATTTTTATATAGCCATAAAACTAAGTACTTTGGATTAAGAATGAATAAGCTAATCAATTTTTAACATTCTTAATTTTTAACATCTTTAGTATAATGGATTTCCGCAAAATAACGTCTGATTTTATTAAAAGTATAAAATTGTGTAGTGGGACAGTAAGAATATTCATTATCCTATATCGTCCCGTGGTTGTCGTAAGAGGTGACAGAGGGAAATTGAAACAGGAGATGGGCAGCAGCATCTTCCTGATAACAATTCAAAATTAAAAAATTGTTCAAACGTGAAATAAAATTTTATCTCTCTATTTTTTTATTACTTCCCGTTCTGATAACCCTAGCAATTTTATGTCAAAAAAGTTTATGTCGGCTTTTCCGACAACATCAAACGCGATGATCGACTGTATGTTCTTCTTAGGCTGTGGTTTTACCGTGTATAAAGTATTAAATATTGATTGGATTGAAACAAATAAATAGAGGAGTACTAACAGCATGAGGAGGGCCGCGAGGCTGTCGAGGAGCGCAGCGGAGGGCGCCAGCAGCGGCACGGCGAGCGCGAGCGGGCGCGGCGCGGCGCCGGGCGCGCGCGCGCACGCCAGCTCGGCGCGCGCGCAGCGCTCCGCCGCCGCCGCGCAGCTCAGCTGCACGCGCGCGTCCTCTGCCAACCGACAACACATGCACTTGCGACCACTGCACTTTGTTGCCAGAAATACATACAAGAGTAGTACCTTCCCATGCGAAACAACAGATGTATTGTCTGTTGTTTCGCATGGAACCCGACAAACCCCGGCTGACCCGACAAACAAACATTTATTACATACAATTAGCTTTCCGCCCCCCTGTGTCCACGTTGTAACGTTATATATAGGTTTGGATCATGACTGTATTGATAGTCATGATTCACACCTATTATGAGATCGCATAATACTCGTACAGTTAGCTCAAACTATTAAATGGATTTTTCTTTAATTTATTTATGTACACACAACAAGATACAAAAACAGTCTTATAGTGAATTTGTACAAAGGTTCTATTTATTCCATAATTTGCTGAAATATCTTCCAGTAGACCCACAAAAGAAAATATATTTAAAAAGGCAAGCTTAGTGAGTACAATACTAATACTACTGTAAATAATATAGGTACAAAAAAACCATACGTAAATTATATTTAATGATTACTATAAATAAAAATAAAATAATACCATAAATAAAAATAATACATACAATAGCTACATATAATATATACAATATGTAACAAAAACCCTGTGGTTCCCGTTAAGTACGTTATCAGGATCATTATTCAAACGTATAGAAATAACTATCAATATTTTTTTTAATTTTTTTTTTAAAAAATTGTTTGCAAATTGTATGTGGTTTTATTACCTCTGCATTGTCTAGGGAGTAAGAGGATTGTCAAAGACCCCGCTTCACTTAGCTTTAGCATCGGCTAGTGTCAGTAAGAGGTAATGAAACCACATAAAAAATATTTTTTTTTTTAATAAAATTAAAAAAATATATGGTCGATTTTTTAAAACAAATTATTTCTATAGGTTTGAATACTGATCCTGATAACGTACTTAACGGAAACCACAGAGTTTTGTTACATGTTGTATAACCTAATAATAATAAAATAATATATATATTAATTAACGGGATGCAAAGAAATTATCTCTAACACGTTTTTTTTAATACCAATAATGTTTCAGAGTTTCTTATATTAGGCGATAGTGAGTTCCACAACCTTACCGCGTGGACAGAAAAGGAGTAGGAGTAAAAACCGGAATTATGGGCAGGAAGGTTAATAAGAGTTTTAACAAGGGATCGGCATTTTCGATCGAAATATTCTTATATTTCGGAATGATAATGAATGTTTTAAGTTACCCTCAACGTACTACCACAATAACACACACAACACAACCGCGCACAGCTTAAACAAGCACACCTCCTCTGCATACCAACCACCATACACAATTTAAACAAGCACACCTCTGCAAACCGACCAACATACACATTTAAACAAGCACACCTCCTCTGCAGACAGGCCAACGTACACAGTTTAAACAAACACACCTCTGCAGACCGATCATTATACACAGTTTAAACTAAGACTAGAAACATTAAAATCAAACAATCCAAATGGTATAAACAACAATTACTATTAAAAATTTACTGAAAAACGAAAAAAAAAATTATTTAAATTTAAGATGATTTTGGCATTATTGGCATTATTTAAATTTAAGATGATCAAAAAAAGAACATTTGTTTTATCAATTTTTAGATTTTCAAAAGAATTATTCCCTACTAGCGAGCCACACCGGCTTCGCTTGGGAAGGATCTATTAATGTGGAGTCATTTAGATTTACGATAATCATCAAAAACATCCCATTTTTACCGCAGCCGTATTATGCTGCGTGGCTATACCTTGTTATTTATAAGTCGTAAGCCCAGCTGTAAATGGTTATAGAACAAATGAGTCGGCTCGGCCGGGGTAGGACCACGCTCTCGCAGAATACTAACGTAAAATAGCAGATTAATCCTGCTGTTTCGTATGATGAGTATAGAAAACCGGAGATCCTTTTTACTGGAAATAAGCCATTCCATCTCAGACTTCAGGGGTGACTACGCATCTGCATTTTGATTCTTAATTGGAATAAATGCAGATGTCTATGGGCCACAGCACCCACATACCATCAGGTGGACTGTGTGCTCGTTTATCACCCTGATTCTAAACAAATAGCAATTTAATGTTGCTATTTTTTGTATAATGCGAGTACAGAACCAAAGACCCATTTTACTGGAACAAGGCATTCTATTTCAATCCCCAGGGGTGCCCAACACTTCTGCATTTCGATTCTATTTTTAATTCATTGTCGATAAATGTAGATGTCTATGGGCCACAGCTTCTACTTACCGTGAGATGGATGTGTGCTCGTTTTCACAATATATACTACAAAAAAAATGTTAGCCACCATTCGAAAAAATTGTTTGTAAGATTAGCAATTTTTTTATACAAATAGGTACTTATTCCCGCCTTTGTAGTAAGTAAGTAAAAATTTTATTAATATTTAATAACATCTGTTAATGCTAATATTTAAAACTACTCACTGAAACCACAGACCGACAAAGAAAAACAGATATGTGCGTAAAAAAATGTATGCAAGTGCACCATCTATCTTTGTTTGTTGGTCTCAGACCGAAAAATACAAGGACAAAAAAAAATTATAATATATTTTTAACCTGGCTTTATCTGTAATCCTTTGTTATAGAGGTCAGTTAAGTTTGATGCAACCATCCTTAAGATTTGAGGATAGTCAGTCCGAGATGATTGCATGCTCATAAAATATTGTTGTTTACGTGTGCTAGCGTACACCTGAAACAGTAAAATAATTCGATTACTTTTCTTTCAACACGGAAAACTATTTTAATCAACCGGCTTACTTACAATATTAGTATACATTGCAGATAAACTTGTCAGTATAGCGCATTGTTCCATTGGCTCCACTCTGTAGTAAATCCTCATTAGAGACTCCATAATAGAAACAATGTATTCAGAACAATCCACGCTTATCCATTCAACTAGGTCCATTATCTGTGAATGTTAATTTTATAATTATATACATTCTTTAATATATTTTTAATACGAAAATAATAAACAAGATAACAGCCTACCAGTGGCTACTGCAGTCTATGGACACCTACAACTAGGGTTACCAACTGACTGAATAAAACCGGTCTCAACCAGATTTTAAGAGTTAAGACTGGCATCCATGCTGGCTATACTGGGAGGTCTACAGGTTAGTGCAAGTGAGCAAGTGAATACAACTTCAAACACATTACTTGAGAAGAATTTTACAATAAAATTTTTGGAAAATCAACATTTTGACAACTGTTGCTAGTGGCTATAAATATAAATTGAAATAAATGTATATTTCAGAAGGAAACAAAGCTACGGAGTATTATTGCGGATATGACGACTGAAGATTGGACTTTTTTTCCTAAAAATTCAAATTTTTAACCACCTGTAACCGGATTTATAATTCCGAGCCCTGGTAACCCCACCTGTAAGCAACTTCAAACAAAAATAGCTACAGATGAGTTGTCCCCTGAGGAACAAGACAGAGTGCCTGAATTTTACTAACTATCCATGCCTTTAAAACCAGGACACAACAGTAGATGCACTGCTTTCTTGACATTAGGAACATTTAATAAAAAGTAAAAGCCAACTTCAAAGAACTAAAAATGTGAAAATAATTTTCTCATAACAGCTTCTGAAGTTTGGTCTCTACTAAAGACTATGCCCATACAACAGTGTTCATTTGTCTTATATAAAAATCCTTACATATATAAAAAATAAGCTATTATATTTCACATTTCAGGTCAGAACAATAAACAACTGTTAATATTACCTCAGCAAAGAAGTCCATTTCATTCCAGAATGGTAAATATTGAGCAAGAAATCTTGTGATGACAGGGATACCCTGCATAATTGTCCGTTGAAATGTTGCCAGCCTACGTAATAGATCCTGTTTCTCGGCATAGCTATGAGGAGATATATCAAGAAAACCTGTGAGTAGATAACACAATTAAAATATTATAGCTGTAAATTGTTTTATTATTATGTTTTTTTTTATATTGGAATAACCTCAACAGTTCATCTGTAAATGCCTAATTTAGCCCATTGATATTGGCTACCCACTTTAAACAAAGAACGTCGCTGATACATTGTCACCTATGTGGGTTATCATGTCTGTAATTGTACTGACTCTTTTACGCTACAAGCCCGAACACAGTAGTGGATGCTCCACTTAGTTAACCAAACATGTAAGAGATTGATGCCCTAGACCAAAGGCAAACTAGACTAGAGGCAGAAAAAGTGTATTTCGATTAGAATTGGTTATTGTAAGACACAACTGATAATATATTAAATAAGAAATTTTAAATTTTATAACAAATTATTAAACGACTTGTTACAATATTTATTATAATCGTGGTTTCATCTTTGTACATAATTACAATTATGCCATCTTACAGAGTATTTGTTAAACATTCTCTAATATGAATTCTTTGCCTATGAAAAATAAATATTGCAATTGATTTTTTGAATATATTTAAAAGTAAGTTGATACAACAGATTACATTCTTAAATAATATTAATATTATAATTTAATAACTGTCAACTTAACTAACTGTTATAATATTACACATTCAATTATAATGAATGAAACTTAAAACATTTGATATTGTTGCGCGCCACTATTAATATCTTGTACATGGCAACACTAGTTACACTAGCGCCCTCTAGTGTCGAGTAAATGAAAGAATTGCGCGCCACTATTAATGTCTTGTACATGGCAACACTAGTTACACTAGCGCCCTCTAGTGTCGAGTAGCAGAACCAGGAGAGTCGAGATCCTTCCAGAAATTTCGGGACCGATATGTACTCGAACATTCTAGATGTCGCTACAGTAGAAGGTTCTGGAAACTATCTGAGGCCCTATATAAGGCCGGTATAGACCACGACCGAGGCAGTATTGAATTGGCGATACAAGAGAATACTTCGAAGCGAAATAACGGCGAACTGTGTTTTATTATTAGTGTGTTTTTAGATTGTAATTAGTATCCGTAATTAAAGTGTCAATTTTGGTAATTTAATCGGCAGTTTTTAATTGTCTCGAACCTCAAGCTCGTAACAATTGGTGTCAGAAGTGGGATCAAATATGCCGATTTTACCTAAAGACGACACGGAGGGTATCCGTACCCGAAGTCAACGCCAACAGGAGACGGACCAGAGACGATTTGGTAATGCAACGCCGCAAACGTCGGAGGGCCAGTTGCTAACCACGGAGGCTGGCCCGTCAGCAGCTCCTGCATCTGCAGCACCTGACTTAGGTGCTCTGATGATGATGCTGCAGGATCAGGCTCGCCGACAGGAGGAACAGGCCCGCCGACAGGAGGAACAGGCCCGCCGACAGGAGGAACAGACCCGTCGGCTGGAAGAGCAGCTGCAGCGCGGTATGGAAGAACAGATGCTCCTCAGGAAGGACCTTCACGCTACCTTCGGGAAAGAGATAAAGGAGGTGAAGGATAGGGTTGCTCAACATGACAACCGCCTGTCGGAAGCTGAAACCCGAATCGACCAAGTGAACAATCGGGTTGACAACGTGATGGCTGTTGTGAAGAAAACGCTGGACGACCTAAAACTTGGGGATGGAATCACAGCTCCCGTGGTAGCTACAACACCTTCGCTACGTGGATTCAAAGTGCCGCCGTTCGACGGGAGTTCTTCCTGGTCGGCCTACAAAATCCAGTTCGAGGCTGTCATGAAAGCGAACGGCTGGAATAAAAGTCAGGCCATGACTGCTCTCACCCTAGGCCTACGCGACCAGGCCTTAACTGTTTTGGAAGCGCTCGGTAAGGAAGTGACTTACGAGCAGCTCCTTGAGGCATTGGAGGCGAGATATGGCGATGCTCACCTGGAACACGTCTTTCGTGCGCAGCTCAAAGATTGCGTGCAACGCAGTAACGAAAACCTGCAGCAGTGGGCCCTTGAGGTGGAGAAGTTGGTTCGAAAAGCTTACCAGTCTGTACCTGTGCTCATTGTAGGGAACCTGGTGCAGACTTTCATCGACGGCATCCGCGACCTTGAAGTCAGAGCTGCTGTGAGGCTCGGGCACCACGAGACGCTTAAGGACGCCCTGACCCATGCACTGGAGGTGGAAGCCGTGCGGCAGGATCATCGTTCCCACCGCGTCAGGGAGGTTGCAGCAGCTACAGTTCTGGACCGCAATAAGGGCTACAACCCTAGGTGCTACGGCTGTGGGGAAAGGGGCCATCTCCGATCCAGCTGCCCTAAACGAACTGTAGAAAGGGAAGATGATCGATCTCGAGAGGGTAGTGCGGATAATAGCACCGCCCAGCAGCAGCAGGGAAACGAGTAAAAGCCAGGACTGCGGGGCGGGTGCTGGCTGATGTTAAAAGAGCCCCAAGGATTTCGATCTCACAAACCCATGATGGGAACAGCCTAATCATCAAGGGCGAAGTCAACGGAACGCCGTGTAAACTGACCATAGACACTGGAGCCTCTCGCACGGTTGTCAGTTCCCAACTTATAAGTCGGTTCCTTGGGGACTCCGCATACAACCGAGAACGCATTAATTTGGTGACAGCCACCGGTCAGCGCATACCCGTCCGTGGAGAGAAGGAGATGGAGTTGAAGCTAGGCAACATGATCTACCTGCATAATGTCATCGTGGCTGATATAATGGACGACTGCATCCTGGGCCTAGACTTTATGAGGAAGAATTGTTGTGAGATCGACGTTAAGCAAGGTGTTTTGAAATGTGGACAAGAAGAACTTTTCGTGGAAGGGGCGTTACCAGGGAATGTGTACAGCCTTAAGAAGATTGTTCTTCCGCCGAGATCGGAAACGATTGTGCCGGTTAGTCTTCCTCGGAGTCCTGGGCAAGCTCATCGTTGTGTACTCGTGGAAAGGGTACACAATGACCTTCCATGGAAAGTGGCTCGACCTTGGTCAGAGCCACCGACATCTCAGGAGTACGTGTGTTGAACCTTTGTGATCAGGAACAGATTATAGAAAAAGGCACATTGGTTGGTACTAGTGAGGAAGTGGATTGGTTGCGTCGATGCGAATATCTATCGACCGGGACCCCCAGCAAGGATGGACAAACGATAGTGACCACACTTTTGGAAGACTGTCGCAGCGTTCTTTCCCCGAATGAAATGGTCAAGGCGAAGAAGTTGTTACTCAAGTACGCCAATGTTTTCTCGTCAAACGAAGCTGACATAGGAAAGACTGGCTTAGTTCACACACAAAATAAACACAGGACAAGAATTGCCTATTCGTCAGCGGCCAAGAAGATTGCCTGTAGCACGTGAAAAGGAAGTGGAAACCATGATTGAGGGAATGGTGAAGGATGGTGTTATTGAACCTTCATCTAGTCCATGGTGTTCACCTGTGGTGCTGGTAAAGAAGAAGGACGGCAGCATGCGGTTTTGTGTTGACTATCGCCGCCTGAACGACGTTACAAAGAAGGACAGCTATCCCTTGCCAAGAATTGATGACACGCTGGACATGCTTACAGGCGTAAAGTGGTTTAGTACGCTAGATCTGAAAAGTGGCTACTGGCAGGTTGAAATTGACCCTAAGGACAAGGAGAAAACTGCATTCTCCACAGGAAAGGGTCTGTGGCAATTCAAAGTCATGCCGTTTGGATTGTGCAATGCTCCAGCAACGTTTGAAAGGTTGATGGAGCTTGTACTTACCGGGCTAATTGGAGATGCTTGTCTGGTCTATTTGGATGACATCATCATCGTAGGCCGTACGTTTGAGGAACACCTTCAAAACCTGGAACGCGTGCTCATGAAAATCCAGAGTGCCAACCTCAAGTTGAGTCCAAAGAAGTGCTCACTATTCAAACGGCAAGTTAGTTTTTTGGGGTATGTAGTGTCGGAAGAAGGTATCCGCACGGATCCAGAGAAAATTGCTGCTGTCAAGGAGTGGCCGGTCCCAAAAGACAAGACACAGGTTAGAGCATTTTTGGGTTTGTGCTCTTATTATCGGCGATTTGTGAAGAACTTTGCAGATATAGCCAAACCTCTGCACAAGCTAACCGAGGAGAAGCGACAATTCTGCTGGGATGAAAGTTGCGATATTGCATTCCAGGAGCTCAAGAACCGCCTGTGCAAAACACCTATTTTGGGGTACCCTGATGCGGGCAAGGAATTCATAGTTGACACAGACGCAAGTGATATAGGACTTGGCGGTGTGTTGTCTCAACGGAATGGTGATCAAGAGATTGTGATAGCGTACTTCAGCAAGTCGTTGTCAAAGCCGGAAAGGAACTATTGTGTCACAAGACGGGAATTGCTTGCTGTGGTAAAGTCCTTGCAACATTTTAGCAAATATCTTCTAGGGCGGAAATTCCACTTACGAACTGACCATGCTGCACTGAAATGGCTATTGCAGTTCAAAAATCCGGAAGGACAAGTTGCGAGATGGATAGAACTACTGCAGGAATACGACTTTGTGATCGAACATCGCAGCGGGAAATCTCATGGCAATGCAGATGCATTGTCAAGAAGACCTTGCCCTGAAGATTGCAAGCATTGTACTAGGCAAGAGGGTAAGGAAGTGGTATCTGTGAGAATGCTCAGGACAGACCAGCTCAGCAATGAGTGGAAGGACAGCCTACAGCATGCACAGCAGGAAGATTCGGACATTAAGCCGATTCTGGAATGGATGAAGGCCAGTGCTCCTAAGCCCAAGTGGAGCGACGTCTCAGCAATGAGTTCGACCACAAAAAGCTATTGGGCCCAATGGGACAGCTTGCTGATTCAGGATGGAGTCCTGTGCCGTAAATGGGAAAATGGTCGGGGAGACAGGTGTCATTTGCAAATGGTTGTCCCTAAGGCTAAAGTGCCGGATATTCTACAGCTGTACCATAGTGGTTGTTCAGGAGGCCAC